ACATAGTCTTCCCCTCCCCTCAAGAGGTGGGATCCACGTTTCTGCCCTTGAGTCTGGTTTGGCCATAGGGCCTGCTTTGGCTAATGGGGTATTAGCAAAAGTGATGCAAAGGCTTGAAAAGCATGGGCACATCGGTACTCCCTCTCTTGCTGCTCCTGGGAGCCCTGCGACTTCCAGCATCTGAAGACATCCCAGGCCCACCCGCTGGATGCCAGGAGACACTTCACAAATCACCCCTGTGGTCCTGCGCCTGACAGCCTCATAGCCACGCCAACCACCAGCTTGTGCATACCTGAGGGCAGCCGAGGTCAGGTGAACCTGCCAGGCCAGAAGAACCCCCCAGTCAATCCACAGACATCTGAGATAAATAGGTGGTGGTTGTTGAAAACCATTAAGCTGTGGGGTGTCCGTTAGCCAGAAACGCTCACTGATACGTGGGGGCAGTGGGTACAGACCTGGTACACTGGAGGTGGGTCCTAGGAAGCCTCATAAAGCCCACCGTCTCCCTCAGCCTCCAGCCTTATCCAAGCTCTGGGATTACAGACTTACTCCGGGGATGCAACTCCCTACGGTGGCTCACATTTCTGCCTATCTTCCAAGCAGAGGCGCTGACTCTTTGTTCCAGGATATTTTTTCAAGGATTCCTGTTTAGTGAACAGCCTCAGAAGACAGAGTATGGCCCCTCGGAGCACAGGGTAAGCATGCTTCCAGATTGGAGTTCTGTAAGCTCAGAGGTCCTCTCCCGTAACAAACCCCACTGCACGGGCAGGCATCACCTGGTCCTGTCAGTGTCACCCCCTGAGAACCGGGGCTTGGGGAATGGGTGCAAGAAATCGCCGACAGCGCTGTGTGTAATAAAGGCTTTCGTCTCCCCCTCGGGAGGCTCGGGGCTTTGCCAGTATCCATGACGCTGTGGCAGATGAACTTACTGAACTGCAAGAGGGCAAAATCTCAGACCTTTCATGGTTCCTGACACCAATGAATCACAGATCCCGTGTATAAAACTATCAGCGCAACTCGCACAGGGGAATGCTGCTTAGTGTCTGTAAAGGTCCATTTCTCTGCAAATGGCCCCGGAAGAGCACATTATGTGCCTGTTCCCAGAAACTCCAGGACAGGGACATCTGTACACATCCTTCTTGTTCTTTTAAAGGACAGGGGATAAAAGTGTAAGGTCAAATCCACTTTTCAAATCATTAGAGAAACAGGAAATGGTGGGCTACATACAGATATAGTAGGAACACAAGAGATTTCAAGGCAAAAGGAAAATATAGCTCGTCTGTCCCCTTTCTGCTTTTGCTCCCCCCTGCCCCCAGCCCAGGCACGCACCAGAAAGCAAGCCGATGAGCAGTCCTATACATGGACTCCATCACCGGGGCATGTGAATTCAGAGATCCATGAAGCCAAAAAACTTTTTAAGTCTTTGATATGACAGCTTGAGAAAAACAATCACAGTTCTTGCTCCACTGGCTACATACACAGAACTTTTCAGGCATCTTAGCATTTTAACACATTTCAAAACGCCATTTTCGAGGCAAGAGAGAGTTATAGATTTGTTTCTAATCCCAGTGTCTTCAATTCGGCATTTTTACCGGGAAGCTGCGTCTATACATTGAACTCATGGTCAGGCTTGTCAGGGAAGCCGCCGCCCTTCCTAGGACATCGGAAGGAGGCAGCTGATGTAGGAAAGACACTGAAGCTCCTCAGAGAAACCACTTAGGGCATCAGTTAAATGCTGAGATGTCCTACAGATGAGCAGCTACTTAACCAGAGCATCTTAGCAGAGCTGAGCCCCTGAGCTGGGCTTCCAGAAAATGTCCTTGTCTTCCATCTCTGGGTAAATGGTTTGTGGGAATCTTTCCCCACAAGGCTCAGATTCTGCAGGACAGGAGCCATCCACGTGTTCTGTCAGCTGGGGGGCACTCATTCCTCCAGGTATGTGGAATGGTGGTTTTCAACCCTGATTGCTCGGTAGAAACTCCTGGGGACCTTTAAAAATAATACTGATTTCCATAGGCCTACCTCAGGCCAAGGAAGTTAGAATCACAGGGAGAGCCAGGAAGGAAAACCCTGTTCAAACATAACATGAAGGTATAGCTCTAGGTGTATAAATATCAACTCAAACAGGGTACCTGGGTGGCTCAGTTGGTTAAGAATCCAACTCTTGATCTCGGTTCAGGTCATGATCTCAGGGTGGTGAGATGGAGCCCCACATCAGGCTCCTTGCTCGTGCAGAGTTTGCTTGAGATTCTCTCTCCCTTTCCTTCTGCCCCTCCCCCATGGCACTCTCTTTCTAATAAATAAATCTTAAATAAATAAATAGCAACTCAAACAGCCTTACTCCCAAATTTGCTCCATTCTAGAGGGTAAAATGAAGGTGAGTGTTGAGATATTTATTTATTTACTTATTTAGCCTCTCATTCATTTGTTCATTCATTCCACATTTGTTGAACACCTGGTCGATGTCAGGTACTACCCTCAAGGTGTCACAGTGCACCAGGGAAGACAGCAAGAGAACCAGCAACTTTTTTTTTAAAGTTTTTATTTATTTATTTTAGAGAGAGAGAGTAGGGGGCAAGGCAGAGGGAGAGAATGTCAAGCAGACCACACTGAGCACAGAGCCCAATGTAGGGTTCAACCTCACAACCCTCGAGATCATGACCTGAGCCAAAACCAAGAGTCAGACACTCACCAACTGTGTACAGATGTCCCAAGAACCAGCAACTTTAATGGCCCAGAGGTGGAAATGCAGAACACAGCAAGCATGCAGCAGAAGGGTTCCCACCCTTCATTTGGGGAGCACATGTCTTTCTTCTGCCCACCTAGTCCTGTCCTCCGAACTTCGCACCTGTACCCCCAATCATCATGCATGTGTGGCTGTGGGGTCTGGGTCAACCTTCATTTGCAATTCTTTACCAAAGCCAGATGGTGCTTTGAATAAATCCTGTGAGCACCTGAATGGCATTTTCCTTTCTGATTTGGAACGGAGATTTCCAGAAAGAACAGGAAAAAACAACCGACATTCCTAGACCCCAAGGTTACATGGAAATTCAGAAGTGACACACTCTGGGTAGGTGTGAAGCTAGAGAACAAGCCGACAAAATGGGTGCTTGGTGTCATCTACAAGGAGGAAGAAATTGCCATAACAGAAACTTCTTTGGAAAAAATATCATCCCAGAGCAGAGATGCCAAGGAGCACATGCAGAATCAGAGCTGGAGAAAACAAGACCATGCTCAGATCTTGAACTGCAAAATATTATTTATTCTTAGGGAATGGGTAGTAACTATCTTCTGTCACAGGTCAGTGAGTATAATCTGCCTTTTTTTTTCATGCACTATCAAGTGTCCTCCATAAAATGAGCCCTACAGACCAACCTCTTTTCTGGGAATGCTGAATCCTGTAGTGTCCCTTTTTTTTTTTTTTTTTTTTTTTTTTTTTTTTCTGGAATGAACACTGCTGTGAGTCCTTCATGCTGTGGGAAAACTGGACTCAGTGTCAGCTCCGTGACTCGCTGACTGGATGATTTTAGGAAAGGCATCGAAGCACTCTGGAAATGTACGTCCATGGTCTGCCTACTGGGCATGAGGATCACAGGATTGCTGCAGAGAATGAATGAAATGAGAGGAGCCGCACTTTTGGTTCAGCATTGGGCACACAGCAGGTGTTTAGGAAGAGGAGTCACCGGTAGGTCCACAGTCCAAACCCAGCCTGGGAAGGGGGTATAACATGGCAACCTGGAATCTCTGGCTTCCTGCAACAGTGCCCTGCTTGTTTCTCCTTATCTAACAAGTGAGAGAGCAAAACTCCTGCATTTAATAAACAGTATCTCCCAGATCAGCCCTGTGTGACTGGTTTGGAGCAGATAAGGGACAATTTCAGGAAGCTGACACACCAAACCCCAGCTCTCTCACACACTGTCAAGTTGAAAGTGTCTGTAATATCCTGTTGCTGCTTATCTATTTAGACTCTTCACTTTAGCACTGTGAAGCCAAGTTTTCAAAAACTCTGGTAGGCACATGGAGAAAAACATGATTTCCTCTCAGGTTACACACGAACTTCTATTTCAGAGCCCTTTTCCAGAGTCAGGCCGACGACTGTGAAGTGAGGGAGATGAGCAGGGAGGTGAGATGATGAAGCAGGACTCTTCAAGAAGCATCGAAGTCGAAGAAAACCAGGTTCTGAGGTGGGCGCCCCGAAGGAAGGCACATCTGGGGCCCAAGCCTGCTGGGATCAGGGACGAGCAGGGACAGCTGCCGAGGATGGTGGGAGTTTTAAATGGCAAGCACCCACCTCCAGGGCCAGCACCCACTTCCTCCATTCTCCAGGATGGCTCTTCCTGGGGCAGACGGACCAACGAGGACCATTTACTGAGAGCCACTCTGACACAGACTTCCGACAGCTCACTGGGTTTCCAGAAATCAAGCTCCTGGGTCCTCAGTCCCCAAGAAAAATGGAGTCATTTGAACTTGTTTATTAGGCTTTGTCTGGAAGCAAAAGTGGACAGGGGAGCACCTTATCATCTGTAATCTTCACCTTTTCTTCTTTTGGCACTGACTGGGGAGTGGGTCAGTTTAGATTGACTTTTTTCCTGGCTTACCTTATTCAGAAGCACTGAGCTAACTCCACATTTTCTTTCAAGATCAGGAGGCCACTTCAGAAACACATATGTCACTTCAGAATGACATATGGGCACTCAAGTAGTCTGCCATATTCTTGATCCCCAGAAGTGAAAACAAAAAAGAAATTATTACAGAGAGATATTGAAGAACCAAGAAAAAAAAAGAATGCAAAGTCCTCGTGTCTAACTGGTCAATTAATTTTAAGGAATGAAGGCTGTAAATCAGGAAAACAGATACATCGTACCATAAACATGTTATTTTAAATATAGACCCACACATCACTTCATCAGGGCCTTCCCACTGGGTATGGGTCCATTAATTTAAATTTCCCATTGTCCTTCTCGCAAAAAAAAAAAAAAAAAAAAATTCAGACACATCACTCTGGTGGAGACTGCTGGCTCTTCACCCAAATTTATTCTCCCCCACTCCATAAAAACAGATTGCAGTTCAGTGTGTTTCTGGCCCCAAACCGTACATTTCGCGGTCTCTCAGTGAGGCATGATCTCCTGCCTGAGTTGTTGTCAACAGAGTGTTTGCCAAAGTGACGGGTTTGCAACAGAGTGTTTACGGAGGCATCAGGGCTTAAGATAAGGGGAATGCCTTCATGCTCTTTCCTCTTCCAACTCCAGAACCCATAACAGGCTTACAACCATTTAGATAACAAGGGACTTTAAGGGTGCATGGGTCAAAATGATGAAAAAACCTGGAGCCCTGAATGCTTGCACACACAGACTTCTCTAGAATGCTAGGGAGTGACCTTGAGTGCTCACATTGAATGACTACATAGAAAAGCAAACAAGCAAATAAAAGTTGATCTTCCAGGAGCCGCAGAATTATTACGAGGCCTCTTTGTTCACCAGCTTTCGTCTTCCCTCACAATTCAATCATCTGATCATCTGAGGTGTCCAGCTTCAACTTCTTAATGTGAACTAAAAACATAAATATATATATATATATATATATATACTAAAAACATAAATATATATATATATATATATATATATATACATACAGGAAACAATTGGAGGGTAGAATCCATCACATTTTGATGACTTTCCCTCCATTTTTTTATAGATGTCTTCATTTGTACATTCATGTTTCATCCTTTTAAAGTAATATCTGACTAAATTCTTCTACAAAACAACACAGTGGATACACACACATTGTGGCACACTCTGACCCTTGGTGTATCAGCCACCGCTTTGCTGCGAACCATCCTCAAACTCCCACGACCGCAGTCAGCCATTCAGGCTGGGTTCTGCTGAGCGCCTCCCTGGGTCAGCTGCAAGCCAGCCAGCTGGGCAGCTCTGCTTCCGGGGGTGGTGCATGTGGCCTGAGGCAGAGGGGGCAACTGCGTCATCATCCAGCAGACTGTCCTGTGCAGGAAGCCAGAGTATGCAAAGCCTCCTGAGGGCATGTGTTAATTCTGACACATTCCATGGTTCAAAGCCAAGTCCCAAGGCCAGCCAAACTTCAAGGGCAGAGGAATGGGTGCCACCTCTGGATGGAAGAAACTGCAAAGTCACATTGGAAAGAGGTGCAGATACAGGAAGGGAGCTTGTTGTAAACATGCCTTCTAAAGAGTCTTCCACAGCCAGTAAACATACAACCCAAGGGATGGGGACAGAAGTGAAAGAGAATGCCTGCAGAGTAACGTATTAGCCAAGACTATGCCAATGGGCACCAAGCATGTCACTCCAAGTTTGGGTGCCAAGCATGGAGGAGATAACATCTCCTCCACATTTTCTCACCTAACCTCCCATTTTAATTTCCTCTTTTCTACTGTAGGTACCATGGCCTCTGTATAGCATGACTGCTCCAGGTCAACATCTTCTAGGACACAAAATTAAATCAGTAAGTTACTGGATACCTACTATGCAAGGCACTATATGGAACTATATGGTCGTGGTGCTTCTAGATTTTACCAAATGAGTGTGAAATAAAACAATGACATTTTCCAACCTGGGAAACGATCAAGTTCATTCCACTAACACCCAGAGATGATTTGTCATCACTTAAGTGAACATTTTCCTTGTACAAGCACTCTTCTTTGTGAGTAAAAGCTGTTAGATACTCAATGACAAGAGTATGGTGAAAATGGTAGACTCATACACTGCTGGTTGCATCATCACCAAAGAAAATATTCATGTGACCACATAATTCCAATCCTGAGACTATGTCCTTTGGCAATAAAAGAAGAAAAAAATATATATATAGTAGAACCATATTCAATACCCTAAAATGGAAGCAACCCAAATGTCCAAATTGACCCAAATGTCAATAATAGAAAAGTTATTTTATAGCTTTATGATTAGTTTGATTATAATGTATTATACATTCATAAAATGGAAATTTTTAGGTATATAAAATATTTATAGATAATATTAGATGAGAAAAGCAGACTTCAAAGTTTTAGTAGTAAGGATATGACCATGCAAAATTCTGGGTGCATATCAACAAGAACAGAAAGGCAATACTCAAAGACAAAAGCAGATATGTTAGAGTAGTAGATTATTTTTAACTTCATACTATTGAAAACAGGGGTGCTACTTGGCAGCATTCCACAGGGATGGAAGGAGAGATGGGTGGGAAGAGTAAAGGGGGAAGAAAGATCGACTAGCCCCAGACGAGATTCACTAACAACATAGTTTCCATTCTCAGAGCCACCTGGGCGCCCCTCAAAGTGATTTTTTTACGAACTTTTACGTACTATTGGTATAGGAACTGTGTTAGAGAAAAATGATTTTTAGTGGCTTCTTAACTCATCTGAGTAATTAGGTTCTAATATCAGCCCTTAAAAGAAGCAGCTGCATATGTTCCAATCCTTGGAAATCTCACTGAATCACCTACAAGCCAGCCAGCTGGGCAGCTCTGCTTCCGGGGGTGGTGCAAAAATGTAAGATTTGACATATTCAACCTTGTACAGAATGAGTCTGTAAAAAAGGTATGTATTGTATACAATAATATATGGCATATACTATGAACTAGGTAAGTAACAGCTAACTTTCTCATTTTTTGTTATTTTTCTCTTCTTTTATACTTACAGTATTGACAGTTAAGGGTTTATTTTTTCAAGATTGGTCCCGAAGGCTGACCTCCCAGAAAAAGAGTTGCTCTTCTGCAAAGCTCCAAGGAAACTGGCTCAGAACCACTGTTGGAAGCAATATACTCTGGTCAAGCACAGGATTTGGACTTCTGTTCCCCATCTTGCCAGGATGGAGCTGAGATGGCTAATCCTGGTATTAGCTGGCCACAAACATGCTAAAAGGTTTGGCCCACAGCCCCTCTCCTTACCACGTGAGGGAAGAGTTAATGATTCCCTAATCATGGAGCTTAAAAGCCCACAGCTTTTTTCCCTCCCTGGAGTCCGCTGCCTGATCCTCCCAGATCACCAGGCCCAAGCTAGATGGGTCAAAGCAGACAGACACACTTTCTCCTGCTCCTGTCTCCGTGGTGTCTCCCTCCAGTGAGCGCTGCTCCAGCAGGTCTGACATGTGTCACTTGGCCATTTGCCTTTGTTTGCCTGAAAAGCATATACTTGAATGTGTATAAGTTAGGATATGGTTCTACTGTACTTGATTTCCTCTCTCACCTCCTCTCCAGTTTTGTTAATGGGATGAATGACATTCATGGACATTCTAGTATCCAACCATCTTTGCATTTTGAAGATAAATCAGACTAGGTCATTAAAGCTCTAGCTATAAATATAGGTATACGTACCTCATTTGCTGCCAGATCTTCATTCATATCTGAATCCTTTAGTTTGGATCCCAAGATTATACTAACTTTATAAGGTGAATTAAAGAACATTCATTCTTTTATTCTCTTAAAGAACTGGCCCAAGATTGGAATTATGTCCCACAAATATTTGGTAGAATTTACCTATAATGCAGGTGATTGAGGAGGACTGTAGACTTTTCACTACTGATTCAATTTCTGTAAGGATGTAGTTATTGCCGTGGCATTCTGGAAGCCTTAGGTGACAAGCTCTGTTCTCATCATTACCCATTATTGCATGTTTCCCTACCAGAGTATAAGCTCCACGGAGGAAGCAACTGTGTTGGTCCTGTTGACCACTGTGTTTCCACCTCATAGTACCAGCTTGAAATATATTTGTTGAGTTAATGCATTGTTAAATAAAACCTTAAGAGAATCTACCAAAAAGCTATTAAAAATACTAAAAATATTTAATAATATTAAGTTAGCCAACTACAAAATAAGTATGGAAAGCCTTCTTAAATGTCAGTATTTACTAGTTTAAAAATATTTTGGAATCAAAATTTCCACTTACATTAGCAATGACTAATGAGAAAACTAAAAACATGTCTGAAGGACACAGAATACTTAAATAACTGAGCAGACATACACATACTGAAAGTGGACGGCTATAAAGAGGTCAGTGTTTTACAAATTAATCCACATCTTTAAGTTAGCTTCAAGTAAAATATTCTAAAGAAAAAGAGACAAATTATAAAGGATTACAAGCTAAAAAAAAGTGTAATGGCATAAGATCAGAAAAGTGGATAAATGGAAAAAAGTGAAAGCTCAATATATATATAATGGCAGCAGTGACAATGATAGCAAATACATAGCACTTACTAGATGCCACGTACCTAGTCTTCCATGTTATATGTAAAGAATTTATTTATTTATTTATTTATTTATTTATTTATTTATTTATTTACGGAGAGAGAGGGCACACATCTTGAGCAGGGAGAGGAGCAAAGGGAAAGGGAGAGAGAATCTCAAGCAGACTCCATGCTGAGTGCAGAGCCCCATGTGGGGCTCGATCCCATGACCTGGAGGTTACAACCTGAGCCAAAATCAAGAGTCAGAAGCCCAACTGACTGAGTCACCCAGGCACCCCATGTTTTATATATTTTATCTTTAAAACAACACTGGAAGGTAAAGTATTATTATTACCTTATCCCCATTTTCCCAGATGGAAAAACTGAAGCCAAGAAGGGGGGATGGTGGAAGGTGCCAGGGTATGTATGTAGACCTTTATGTAATCCCTGTGTTTATATGCCATGGCAACCCCCACATCGCCAGCCTATGTCCTCTGTCCAGTCCAACATCCCCACATCACCAAGCCTCTGTGAGATTAAAACTCCCATCTCCTGGATGAGGGTGGTCTCCCGGGGGGAAGGCGGTCATCAGAAGGTCCCACTTGTTATAAAGACTTCCAAGCAATCCTACTCTCAGTCCCCACACTCTTCTAAGACACAGGACACCTCCAGTCCCTAAAGCTTTCAGGGGTTCCAAGGATTATTGGTCTCTTCCTCTGCAGGCAACTTGTGTTTCAACATTCTTCCCTTTGATTGATCTGTTAACATTTATCTTAATGTTTTTCCATCTTCTAAAATTTCTATAAAGTCTCATCCATTGTTGTCTCTAGGATTAAGCTCATAGATTTTGACTTTGTTGATTTCTTTACCTTTCTTATTGAGTTGAGATAGCCCAGAAAAACTTGTATTTGCAATGTACCATGTGCAACCAGAAGTCTGCATATTAATTTACTGTAAGGAAGTTATCAATAAAGAACACAAAGATTTATATTAAATAATGTGTATTGCTTCATAATTTATAACAGCAAAAATGAGAATGGTCAAAATACTAAATAGTAAATGGTTAACTCAAGAACTTACGGCACATCTGTGGTGACCGGGAAGTTGTGCCATTCAGATAGATCTTCTTCAACACAGTCTTCTGTGGGGGGAGCAGAGTTGACCAGAAGCCTCCTGCTGTCATCCATTGGATCCACACCAGCGTTCGTGTGGAGGCCATGCTTCCTCCCTGCTGCCCCTAACCACTTACTAAACATGGTGTGGGAGCCAGGGCCAGGCCATTCTGGTCCAACACGTGAATGGCCCAACGGGCAACCTTTGCCCAGAGACCAACTCCCCATCAGCCTGGGCCTGGGCAAGACCTTCTCAGAAGCACGCTCCTCTTCCTACGCAAACCTTCCTTCCACTCTCCTTTCCCAGGTGTCAGACTTCCCTGCTCCCTGTCCCTTTGTCCTTCACAGGGACTTCTGTACATTTCCTGTATGGTCAGTCCTCTCCTAGCATCTGCTTCTTGGAGGCGCTGACCTGACAGAACACTCACCCACCAAATATTAAGGCAATTTTCAAAAATATTTATAAGAAACACACAAGGATAGAAAAAAGAGGGTATAATGCTATCAAAAATGCCAGTATTCCAAATGTATATACAACATGATCCTAGTTTTGTTTTTATTTAAAAAAAGATATAGAGCAATAGGTGTGTGTATATATATACAAACAAAAGCTTTTACACACACATCACCACACTGAGAATGGCCATTTCCAGGGGAAAGGATTATGAGTGTTTGTTGCTGCTTCTATACCCTTTTCTTTATTTTTCAGTGTTTCAGTAATAAGCATTATTACCTTTATTACCAGAAACAAAAATAAACTTGACTATAAATGAGTTGGTCACCTGAGGTTCCCACCATCTGAGCAGAGAACAGGGGCTGGCCTCCCCTCTGGGGGTCAGGGCACAGAAGTCAGGCACAGCCAAGTAGCAAGAAATACAGATTATAATGTCACCGCTGAACAGCTTTAAAAATGTGCACAGCTGGGTCCAGACGTTTTGAAAATCCAACCTGCATTTAGGAATCTCGACAGAGCGTCAGAAGAGAACAAAGCAGATGGGGCACCAAACCTACTGAGCCTTGCTTGCTTTGGCTTCACTATGTTTTAAGATTTTATTTTATTTTATTTTATTTTTTTATTTGTTTGACAGAGAGATACAGAGAGAGCACAAGTAGGCAGAGAGGCAGGCAGAGGGAGAGGGAGAAGCAGGCTCCCCGCTGAGCAGGGAGCCCGATGCGGGGCTCGATCCCAGGACCCTGGGATTATGACCTGAGCCGAAGGCAGCCGCTTAACCAACTGAACCACCCAGGTGCCCCTGGCTTCACTATGTTTTAAAAGAAATTTCTATCAAGTCAGTATTTAACCAAGCTACCTTTTTTTTTTTTAATTTCATTGCTTAATCTGTAAGCAAGAATGGTGTGTCTTCTTTTTGAAGGACAGATGACTTTCCTCCCGAGTCTGCAAAAGGGACATTGGAACATTAAGCAGGCATAGGGCACATGTGTTATCCCACCTCCTAGCGCCCATCCAACTTGCCCTCTGTCCCTCCATGGAGCCACTTCTGTTGCTGTTCTTGGGAAAGTCCAGTGAAACAAAATGTCAGAAAAGGGGCGCCTGGGTAGCTCAGTCGTTAAGCATCTGCCTTCGGCTCAGGTCATGATCCCAGGGTCCTGGGATCGAGCCCCGCCTCGGGCTCCCTGCTCTGCGGGAAGCCTGCTTCTCCCTCTCCCACTCCCCCTGCTTATGTTCCCTCTCTCTCTGACAAATAAATAAAATCTTTAAAAAAAAATGTAAAAAATGTCAGAACAATGTAACAGCACCAGCAACACGACAGTGTGAACTAACATTTATCAGACGACTCCCATGTGCCAGATAAGGTTCTCAACACTTTCCATATATGAAATAGCTCATTTAATCTTCATAGGAATCCCACAAGTGAAGTACTAATACCATCCTCATTTAACGGAGAAGGACGCACAGGTCTGAAGCGGTAAAGCAACTTGGCCAGGACCACACAGTCAGCGTGTAGTGGAGCTGGAGTTCAAGCACAAGGCATCACAAAGGAGAAATAAGACAGAGAACAAAATCCAAGTATGCTGCTCAGGTACACAGCTGCTGTCCTTGACGGAAACAAAAGTTGGACAATGAGAGATAAGCAGCATGGAAAGTGCGATTTCCCTGGGGAGCAAATCAGTCAAACAGACAAAAGGACACAAACTTAAACAAACAAGGGAGGACATCGAGCAAATTCTCACTGAGAGACAGATAAAGTGCTGCAGATTCTACGCAGGAAGTAGACGGGCCGGGTCGTAGTGGGAGAAGTCAAAGAGGCCGATGGGTGATGGAGAGGGCCGAGGAGAGGAAGGCAGTGAGCACGTGAGAATCAGGCATAAGGGATATGAAAGCAACAGAGGAACCAGTGACAGGGAGATGGACGGACTGTCAGCCAAGAGGAAGGACTGCAAATGCAGGGGCACAGGTACCTCCACCCTGAAAAAGCAAGAGGCAAGGAAGAGGCAAGGGGGAAGCAACTGATTTGAGGGGGATTTGCATCATTTCCTTTTCCGTGTTATTTTAACCCTCGCAGGATGTCTTCCTCGGCTACCCTGCCAAACAAGCAGAGAGAGATGAACTCGTCCCTCACGCCTTCTTCCATACAATGACATGGCACCACGCCAACCGTCCTTGCCCCATGGGCATGCAGCTAGGTTGGGTGGTTGGTTTTCTGTGGACCCTTTGTGTTTTTAGGGATTCCTGCCAAGAATGAGGTGGGATTTCAGGTGAGTGGGTGCCATTTGAAAAGGGAATTCTCCCCTTGCAGAATTATTGTGGCTATAAGAAAGAATCACATACGTAAAGAAGATACATGTTCAGGCTTGACACTTAGAATGTGCTCAACACGTGG